AATAGCCGGTGAATCGTGATGGACAGGATGCACTTGTCCTTGGGATGGGCATGTTATCGAGGATTTAATGCAATGAAGACATCTGATTGCAGCGTTATTACCCACAGGGGATGAGAAGGAGTAAGTAATTAAATAAGACACTGTGGGATACAACAATATGCTCCCATCCCTGATTCCAAACCCCTCTCCCGCAGCGATGGTTCGTTCTTAAATTAAAGAGAGTAAAGCTTCCTTATGGACGTGTGCAAGAATAAACATTAAACAAAACTGAGGGAAATAGTCGAGACGCGTGCGAACCGGCCACCATGTGATAAAACGTGCCAACAACAACTGTCTCACGCGCCCGTCGTTGACAGCAACTGGTGGCGTGTGACCCCCTGCCGGCGGCCGGCAGCGTGGTGTGAAACCCGCAACATCACTGTGCGAAGAGTGCAGCGATCCGACGACTATGAGAGTCATGTTGTGTGAAGTCGGCTTCATTGTCCCGGCAGGCAACGCCGCTTTGGTATCTGGAGCTGCGTTCCCGAACTCGGTGCAATCATTGTCGTTTTTAATGCTTTAATAACACTTTGGTACAACGGTTTCTATCGTCTGGACAAAATGTCTGAAGGGGATTGAAATGTTCTTCTGCGTTGCAGGAGAAATTCTGTCTAATCATTGTAATCAGAACGCCCCATGTAAATATCCCCTTGGATTCCTGCAGGGTGAACGACACAACCACCGAAGTTCAAGTATTTACCAGATTAGTTTGAGGTGTGACCGGAGCCTGAAACCTGCGGCGCCTTGGAGGAGATTTGTTTCGCTCTGAGTTTTTCCTTTTACGTTCCATTCACCAGAATAACGTGGGAATCCATTGCAAACTCTCTACCGTATTATTATTCTAGTGCTTCCGCTGCTGTTTTCGGGGGTTTCACTTGTGTTGACACAGAACTTATTTTGCCATTCTAGTTTCCCTGAGACGGTACTTAGCGGCATCTGGGCGGCGTACTTTGTCAGGCCAACTTAATGTAGCTGCGCCAATCAAACTGACCTACTGTATTAAATATTAACACAGCACATTTCTGGCATCATCATCTTCCTCCTCCTCCTCCTCCTCCTCCTCCTCCTTCTTACCGCCGCCTCTCTCTCATTATTCTGCATGCTCGCTCCGTCCTCTTCTTTTGTGCTGCCCCGTGTCATGTACTCTTCTGCCAGCCTTTCAATTAATGCTCCTCAGTGGAGCACCTTCACTTCTCGTAGCGCTCTGCTCCTCACCTCCTTCCCCCCCCGAATCCCACGACTCCTTTTCTCAACCAGAAATGTGCCCCTTCCTCTCTCATTAGGCGGGATCGCTATAGTTCTCTCTCCACGCTTTCATACTTCCTTGATTGCTGTAAACAAAATGTTGATTTGACATAAAGTAGCCCGTGTGTGTGAGTTGCAGGGGGAGAAAGTGGGACGCTGTCTTGCTGTACGGTGTATTATTTAATGGTATGCTGGCTCATGAGTTATGCTATATTTTGAAGGGGCTTTGCACATGCACACGTGTGTGTGTGTGTGTGTGTGTGTGTGGATGCTGTGCACTTGGGTGGTTGTGAAACTATGTGAAGTTCACAGTATTTATATAATTGATGCGCAATGTCATCAGTAAATCTCTAGGTAGAGAATGTGGGTTATAATGTGGGAACACATTTGTGTTTGTGTGTGTGTGTGTGTGTGTAATAGTTGTGCATTATTCATATGTTAGCTCCTTGGTGGACTTGTGTGATTTGATGAGAAGATGCAGGTCTGTGTCAACGTCTCTTTTATCCTTCATAATTCAGTAACCACCAGAAACTATCATCTTCCCCTTTCACCTCTCAGTCTTCTAAAAGACTACTTTTCAATTCTCATCCACATCATCTACTCCTCTAATCCTCATCCTCTCTTCATCTACTCCTCATCCTCTCCTCTTCTCGTCCACACCCTCTCTTCATCTTCTCCCTATTCTCTCCTCATCGTTCCCTCATCCTCTTCATCTTCTCATCTTCCTCTCTTCATCTACTCTTCCCCTCCTCCTCATCCTCTTTCATCAGCTCCTCATCCTCTCATCATCTTCCCAGTATCTTCCCTTCAACACACACAAAGTGTTGGTTATTGAAGCACAAATATATTTATTCACATAATCCACGTAGCTCAAGATGACACATTTTTAAAAAGGAGCATAAATGAACGACATTCATCAATCAATCGCAGCACAATTGAATAGCGGCGTGTGAGTAGCTCCGCTGTATCTGTGCTATGATGCTGGAGCGATCATTAGGCCCTGCAGAGGGTGCCAGGCGGTCCGGTTATACGTCCTCTGCCCTCGGCTTTCTACCTGCATTGTAACTGTGATGCTAACCAGGATGGACTCGCCCAACTGTCTTGATAGACGGTTCCATCTGAGAGCGGCCCGCCAGTCCAGCTGCCCCCGCCCCCCCAAGCCTGTAGTCTTACATGCAGTTATTCCAGAAAACCTTTCCACACTATTCTCTGACCAAATACACATTTATATGATCATTTTATTTATATATAACCTACCGTGGCAAAAATGCTTTACCAAGCAAAAGATAAACAGCGGATAACATAAAACAGCAGGAGTGTGTCAACAGTAAAAATGAGAGTTTTCTAGTCTGGTTGCTCAGATAATTTATTCCAAAGGTATTGGAGCCCTCACACTAATGCCCTGGCACCCCCCGGTTTTCAGCCTTGACCGGGGAATAGCTGACACGGCCTTTTTGGAGGACTTAGGGCCACGGGTTGGTACCTCTGGGAATTACGGGCTCAGCCAGGTAGCTCAGTGCCGTACCGTGCAGCGCATTGCAAGTTGGGATTATACACGTTTAACTGAATTCTTCAAAGAAGAGGCCGCCAGTGAAGGAAGCCTAAAATAAGAGCGATTCCACCGCGCTTTTGTGATGTAGTTAAACGTCTGCCGGCTGCTGTGTGGACGGCCTGGGGCCGGACATTGAGGTTAACATAATACCAAGGCTCCTGCGAGTAATTAAAAAATGTTACTTTGTCCTTGAATCCTTCCCTCGCCAAAGGAAAGAGCAGATACAGATTCATCTGAACGCAGTAGTCCATCCACCATCACTGCGTTTCTGTGCGCTTACATAACAGCAGTTTAGATAAAACGGCCAAACTGTTGTCTTGCTTCCTCCTCGTTGGATCTTCGTTGCAATGTGGTGATTAAGTACATAATATAATGATAACCACATAAAAACCACATAAATATGACTCATGTTATTATAAGAGACAGGAATGATCCTTTAAATGATTACCGGGTTGTTTTGTCGTCCAATTCATTGTTAAATCGATTGTTTTGAGCCGTGATTTATAAGCGACTGCCGGTTGTAGTCTTATATTGGCGAGCGAGTGGGCGGCTGCACGTTAGCATCCGTGTTATCTGGGTAAGACTGCGGATGTGCCTGTTCCAGCTCAAGGAGACATTTTTATCCTTTCTTTCTAAACCTGAATAAAGCATAACGCCGCACACACCTCCAGTCTCTCTCTCTCACACACACACACACACACACAGATGGAAACAGTGAGATGGATCTTTTTGAAGTACAATTTCATCCTCTCCCCTTCCCACTTTTCTCTCTCTTTGTGCAGCGGTGAAGTTAAATCTCTGCGGGGCTGCTGCTTTCTCAGTGATGGCCTGAGCTGTCAGCTTTTTGTCATACTGAGGGACAACACTAGAGGCACAATCTACGTTTTACCCACAAACACACAAACACACACCTATGCACACATGAAGGGGGTAGGTGGAGGGCGGGGCGGGGGGGGGCAGAGACACGGGTGCCGACAGCTGATTCTCCATGTGTGTTTATGAGGACTTTGATGTTTAATGTGTCACGTTCTTTGATGCCCTCTGTGGAGAGCGTGTGTGTGTGTGTGTGTGTATGTGCGTGTGTTTGTGTGTGTAAAAAAGAGGGACCCCAGGACGATGTTTGTGGTTTGCGTCACTCTTTTTTCATCCCGAGACTCTCACTCCTTCTCCTCCTGCGGCAGGTGTCTCGGTCCCACTCACAGGACTGCAGCATCCCTCTTCTCCTCGGCGTTCTCCCCTTGAGCCCTTTTCTTTTGCTCGCTGCCTGCTGCTGTGCTCTCCTCTCTGGTGGACGGGCGCTTGTGTTGCTGTCTGTTTGCTGCGTCCCCCGTGGGGGGGGGAGGGGGGGGCGGCGGCGAATTTCAGCTCGCACTTTATGCAAACATGCATTCATGCAATCGTTAGCCACTTATTTCACACTCGCTTTGGGTTTCATTCTGTTTAATAGCTGCTTTTGCAGCCGGTAATGATCGCCGCTGCCTCTCGCCCTCTCGCTAACCCCCAGTTTCCCTGCGATGCCGAGACTAACTGATTTAACCGTACGCGGCGCCGGTAATTAATTCTGGAAAATTCTAAGGCGTAGTTTAAACGGAAGATATCCTCTGACATCCAGAGAGACCGCTTTGAAATGGCGCCGTGTCTTTTGTACGTTAGGCATTAACAGATTCCACATTTAATACATTAAGCCGGTTCAATAACACACAAAGAGCACAGAGGAAGAGCGCCGTTGTTTGCCTCAATTAGGCGTCGACACAATGAATGGCTGCTGTCCCATTGGCCACAGTGAATCACGCCTGTGAGTTATGAGGCCGTTATCTCCGACCAGTCGGGCCTTCCTGTTGCCAGTAGTCTCTCGCTCTCTCTCTCTTGCAGTGTTGTGCGACTTGTTGACTCAATCTCTCAGTATCTCCTCCTCGCTTTTCCCATTTCCCCCCGTTCGTTCTTCCAGCGCTTACACACTCTCTTATCTCCTACGCCGGGTCTGACTCACTGATTGCAAAAATTAAAAATGGTTTTAATTCCACCAGGTTTTTTGAGTCTGATTTGCACTCGCTCGCTCTGGCTTTTTTTTTTTTTTCCCTTCTCTTTCTCCCGTGCAATTAATTTCAGTTCCCTCAGACAAATCCGCTGACTGTCTCTGTCGCCGGCCTGTCTGTCACTGCAGGATGAGAGTCCACGTTCTTCCAGTTCGGTGCGGCGGCTGCAGCAGGAGGCTCTGCTCATGCTCTCCATCATGGAGGAGTACGACTGGCATGTTTTTTCTATCGTCACTTCCAAGTTCCCCGGGTACCAGGATTTCATCGGCACGCTGAAGATAACTGTGGATCACAGGTGATGAATCCCCATCACACACACACACACACACATGATTAATCCCTAACCTCTATTTACGGGTTGCTGACGAGATCAAGCACCTTGTATCATTTAACGGCGTATTGTTACAGCTTTGTGCGCTGGGACCTGCAGAGCGTGGTGACTCTGGACGCCGTAGACGGCGACCCGAACTCTAAATCACACATCGCACTCAAGAGGATCCAGAGTCCCGTTATACTGCTGTACTGCTCCAAGGACGAGGCCGTGTGAGTGTGTCTTTCTGTCTTTCTGTCTCGCTGTCACACACACCGCCGAGGACCTTTTATTGACTCTGCGACTCCTCTCGCAGGTACATTCTGGAGGAAGCTCGCTCCCTGGGCCTGATCGGAGCCGGTTACATCTGGATTGTGTCCAGTCTCACCACCGGCAACCCAGACTTTACCCCCGAGGTAGCGAGGCCCCATGTGTTGTAACAGGTGGCCGCTTCCGAGCGGTTTGACAAGAAGTGTTTTAGAATTCCGAGCTGTTTTCCAGGTTATCTGCTACTTCTCCTGCGTATGAAACTCATCTCCTTTATTCCTCCGATATGAGCAGTGAAAAACACGGCGATTCTGAAGGATACAAGGCCAACTTAGCAGCATCTCTAAAGCTTTCTATCACTGTATCTTGTTTGCTGATAATTTGGATGCCTGACTATTTTGCAGTTTTAGTTATAAGGAAAACTGAAGGTTATTACTGCTCGCTGCCAAGAAATGCCCCTTTCACTAGATGCAAAGATCATGCAGATTGAGCTGTTGCAGACTCTGTGCTAAGCTAAGCTAAGTAACAGGGAAATATTGTGGTAATTTTCTCATCCATCCAGTAAGCAAGTAAGCATATTTCCCAACATGTGGTAGTGTTCTTTTAAGCCCTATTAACATATTTTTAGTTTATTGCTTTGTTTACGCTCTTCTTGCTCTGATCCAAATAGGACATGAATATTTGCATAAATAATTCAAAGTATAATAAGCTGAAATGTTCCACTCACAGAAAAACTAAAAAAATATCCAATGTGTGCTTACTTATTGTCAAAAGCCTCTGAAATTCTTATCCTCCTCTATTCCTCGTCCTTCGTCCTAAAGTCCCTTTTTATGTTTAATCTAATTCCAATTCCAATTCCAATTTGTGGCAAATTAAAAATTGAAACTAAATATCTTGGTGTGGATTGACAGACGGACTCAGTGAGCTATTTGGTTTCCAAATTCTTTCATTTTGACAGTTTCAAGGTGTAGCCTCTTCCCAAGGGAGCAGTTCGGCATTCAGACGTGCACCACCGCTCACACACTCAATTGTGATATCCGGTGATGAATTACTTCAGCAATACACACAAACAATAAATCATCTGCTCGACACCTTTTGAGATATTGTTTTTAGTGGGTTTTTTTAAAAACTGGGTTTTAAAGTCAAACTGAGTGTGTGGCACCTCTCAGACCTTCCTCTCCTCCCCTCCCAGGTGTTTCCCCTGGGCATGATCTCCGTGTCCTACGACGACTGGGACTACCCGCTGGACACGCGTGTGCGTGACGGGGTGGGCATCATTTCCTACGCCGCCACCGCCATGCTGCGGGAGAAGGGGGAGCTGCCAGAAGCCCAGAGCAGCTGCTACAGCACACCGTCAGACAGGAGCCCCGGGAAGCTCCCACCTAGCGCCCTGCGCAGGTGTGTGTGTGTCTCTGTGTGTGTGTGTGTGTGTGTGTGTGTGTGTGCGCGCGTGAGAGCGTGAGCAGATCAAGGTCTGGGGACTTGCGTAACCGCTCTCAGTCTTTGCAGCTGGGTGTGGAGCCGCGTTACGTAAGTCTCTCTAACGCTCTAATGAGAGAGAGGAAGCGGAGATGACACAAGTGTTAAACACATTTAGCACTTTTAGCCGTTGTGGACACGGCGGCTCTGCGTTTCAGCTCCCTCCGCTGCCGCAGCCGAGCGACGGTAGAAAGTGAACCTCAGGCCGACCCCGCTTTGCCCTTTGGTGACTTTAGCCGACCGTGTGTGTGCGTGTGCGTGCGTAGTTTCGTGCGCGCACCTTACTTCACACGATTGGATGTCATTATGTCAGAGTTCCACCTTTGTTTTCTCTTTTTTCTTGTTACGGGGCTGTGTGGCAGTATGTAAGTGTGCGTGTGTGCGTGTGTGTGTGTGTGTGTGTACATACACATGTGCATGCCAGTCACATCTGTCAAACCAAAGTTTGTAACCAATGTTACAGCAAGTGTGCACACGTTTATACTAAACATCCAACATTTTAGAGGCTTTGCTTCCGTTCGGGGATTTTTGGTGTGATATTGTGACTACATGTTAAAAATGAGGCAGTTTGTGGCTAAAATGGGATTATTAATTCACACACTAATGCAGTACGTAGAGGTCAGGTTGCCATTTATGATGACTTATGAGTTGACTCATTAGAATGAGAACCACAGAGTGATTTCCACCAGTGTGGCTTTATTATTCCATTTCTCTCTCTTATTAAACCATGACACTATATATCAAAGCACATACAATACCAGCGTTGTTGACAGGTTGATCCAATATAACTCAGACCTCAGTCGGAGCGCAAACCTTTTTCCCGAATAATCTTTCCCTCGTTCCGTCAGGGGTTCCATCATTTTTAGCTTATTGAATCAAATTTGCATATTAGTCAAAACAACTGCAGCCAATTTCTGTGATAATGCAGTGACAGGTTGGAATTCCCTGCCCCCCGATCTGCAAGTGGCGAGGCTGCGATCACAATGCTGCAACACATTAGTCTGGATACAATCTTGCCGCAGCGTGTATAAACAACGTGAGTTGGAGAGGAATAGGACCAAATTAATCTGCCACTTAAAAGCCATTATCGGCCCCGTGTTCGGATTCTCCGTCGCTCTTGCCTGATAGGCATTAATATCTAGCTCGGTTAATCCGGTCCTCGCGATGGCACATGGCTTTTTCTTGGGTTTGTCCCGATAGTACATTTCGAAAGGTTATTCTGTTTGATGGAACCACTGTACCATGACAACCCCTAAGCTGTTACTATTCTCTGAAAAGATGCTCCTCGCCACAATGGAGGAGTTGGGAAGAGCCTCCCCTCCTTTTTATATTCATACCTTTTATAAAAAGGACTTGCACAATGTCGGCCCGAGCACTTCAATACTAGGAAAATGTTCTGCACGTAGTAGTAAGTGGAGCCACATTTGAAAGATGCTTTTTGCAATTGTAGGTCTTTTTTTTTTCTTCTTCTAATTAATGTGGCCGGTGCTTCAATTAAAATGGACATTGGTTCTCTAGTTGATGCAAATAATTTTACGTTTGGGAATTCCAAAACCACTGAACCCCTGTTTGAATGCAGCTTAACGTGTTGTTCTATTGGCTTCACGCATGTCACAAAATGACAGGAATACACGTATCTGTATGAACATGCATCAACAACACACAGCGCCACATTCGCTTAAACCAAACATGATAAGAAACCTGAAATAGGGGGAGACACTAGTTTCACAGAATAGACTGCGACTGTGTTTGTGCCATAAAGTATGTATTCAGCTGTGGCGATGCGCTGTGACAAGGGCATCACCTGCTGCACCACAGAAATACACAACTGTCCTGACGCGTCACTGATGGCGTTTCAACCTTTAAGGACGAAGGCCGCTTCGGCCGTGCAAAATTCACCTGCAGGGCGCAAGTCAAACAGCACCCAAACTATTATTTTCCATGAATCCCACATGACCCTGGGATCTGACCTCTGACCTTCTCACGTACAAAAAGCAGGTGTGCTTTAGCCTTCTCATGAAAAAAAACGCTACTAAATATGTGTTTCAAAAGACTTAGAATATCTTTGAAACTAACACTTGAATATTCTATTTTAGTCGTCACTCAAACTATGTTGGAAATCGTGTCTAAACGAATAAATGTATTTGTAATAAGATCCACAACAGCAGTGTGTTCTGTTTCGGCAGCTGCTGTCCCTCTTGTCGTTTGGCTTTTTTTTAGTCAACTTCCTTAGACAAGCCTCTTTCCCCCCCAGTGGGAAGCCATGCCGTCGCCCCGGTGTTTACGCTCACAACTTCCTCGAGAAGCGCTTCGCCGGAGCGAGCGTATTCTTAACCCCGCAGAGAGAGACGCTGCTTCATTTCGCCCTCTCTGCTGCTTCACTTTGGCGGACGTGTAAATGTTTCAGCAAAGGCTCTGTTTGCGTATGCAAGAGAAGGGTTGTGAGTAAGAGAGCGAGGGCAGCCTTTTTGCACCAGTGACTTGTCTTTCAGGCGTACGTATATCTGTTGAGAAATCAATGCGGAGCTCTGATTGGGCCGATGTGTGGCCTCTGACTCGCCCCACTCCCACACACAAATAGATGCTCACACACACACACACACTCAGGCATGCATGCACAAACACAGTGGGTGAAGACAGCATTGATTTAAAGAGGATACTCTTGCAGTGATTATAGAGCACTTTACTTGTTATTACAAATCCATCTACTCTCGTGCACACATTCACACAAACGCTGAAAAACGGATGCAAAACTAAAGCTAACAACAGCTTCCCGCTTTCTTTTCTCCCGTGTGTTTCAGACACATGATGCACGTATGGAATGAAGGGCGCGACTTGTCCTTTACTCCGGATGGTTACCAGGCCAACCCCAAATTGGTTGTCATCGTCCTGAATAGTGAAAGGAACTGGGAGAAGGTAACAAATGAACACGGCGGTATTGCAAACGAGCAGTTAAAAACACTTTTAATTGAGATGGGGGTCACTGATTTCGTCTGACACACACACACACACACAGATGGGCCGCTGGGAGAACGGGACGCTGTCGTTGATGTTCCCGGTGTGGCCGAGGTACAACTCGCACGGGGACGAGGACGCGGATGAAAACCATCTCTCCATCGTCACGCTGGAGGAGAAACCTTTCGTCATCGTCGACAACGTGGACATCCTCACCGGGACCTGCGTGAGGAACTCCGTGCCCTGCCGCAAGCACGTCAAAGAGTGAGTAGACGTTGTGACACGCGAAACACGCGGCACCAACACACTGCCGATACAGGCTCACACCTCCGCTGGTGGCCTTCACTAGTTTGATTCTGGGTGTGTGATAAATGCAGCATTTCTTATTTCATCAGTTCAAGCAGGGGAGGAAACTGACGTCTGATATCAAGGACATGGAATAAATGATCAAACGGCAGCTTGTTTGTTCTTCTCATTTGAAAAAAAAAAAACGGTGGAATACGCAAATTTGTCTCTTGATCTCAGGAAAGCATTTAACGCTCAATTAGGTTCCCTGTTTTCTTCCCACCAGTTGTTTTCTACTTTTCTGCAGAAATAAATGAATAGAACGACGCCTCTCAAACCCGTCTCAATGTGTCTCAGAACATCAATCAGCCGACCTTTGCGCGTCCACTTTTGTTCCACAAGGCTTTATACTGGGCCCACTCATTCTTACTTTATATAATAGTGACTCATCATCTGTTTGTCCTCCAGACTGATTTCCAAATATATTTGGCTGACAATCTGAAGTAATCACGCGGTGTAAATGCTGTACCGTGTTAAAACTTTGGTTGTCGCTGTGTGTTCTTCAACCAAGAGAAATAGGCCCCGTGTAGCCTCAGGTGGGTTTAGTCAGTAGAAGATATATGTAAATTTGTATACACAACAAAGTCACTGCCGCTAATTTCAGTTTCGCATGTAACGACTCGACGCGTCAGCCGCGATGTGACGAGTGTTTTTCCCTCGAGATTACTCACTACACTGTGTTCTTCAGTCAGTGTCGTACACGAGTAAAACTCTTTTCTGACTTCTGTCACAGAGTTCACAACATGCTGGCAAAGTGGTTCCCACTTGGTTTGTGGATAATCAGTTCTGTCAGCATTAATAATAAAAAGCTCTCTGCCGCTGTCAGCTGGCTAATGCCAATCTGTCTGACTTGTTTTTTTGTTTTTGCTATCGCTGTGGTTGCACGTGTTGCGCGTTGTGCCCTTTGTTTCATTGTTAAATCAGTGTCATCTTTTCTGTGTTGTTTTAGATGATACATTTGCTAATTAATAACTAGTACGACAGCCCGTCGTGATAAATATAGACACGTTACAATTCTCATCACGTTGATGCGCAGCAAGGTTGCATCCTATTTCCATATAATTTGTATTTTTACTGTTATTATTATCTAAATTATTTAAGATGTGGCCAAATGAATGCAAATAAATTCCGTAATGTCTTGATTCTTATAAGCAACTGTACACTGATTAGTGAAATGTGATCACAATTAAAAACGTTTCCAATATGACTCAAGTAGAACAATTGAAGTAATTCATATTGAAATGATGCATCGTATCGTCAGTGCGTTGAATTTCCCATTTTTTAAATTGCCAATTGCAAATTTGAAAACGTTACTTTTGATTAGGAAATGTAGGTGTTCAGGGTCTTACTTTTTCCCTACTGAACTTTAACCTCAGCAGAGACCAAAGTTCAAGTGTAGCTGAGCTGAAGTTGATGCTGAAGCTGAAAACAAATTTACAAAGTAGAGCATATTTTTCAATGGACAGGAAAAGTAATTAATTAATGTTGATTTAATAATTAATGATCACATTTCTGTTTTTTTGTGTGTAACAGAAGATAAAATAAATACATGAATCCCAGCTTCCGCTGTACCGCGAGACACAGCAAATGAAAAGATGTTCCGTGTGGGACGCGGCCCAACATTTCGTCCTCTCCCATCTGGACTCTCGACTCCCAGCTCCTATAAACGCTTCTGCTCGGCAGCTACAAGCCATCCAGAGCGCTGCATCCTGCCCTGTCTGCAACCTCCCCGAGTCCCCCCTCCCCCGCCCCCGCTGCCCTCCCCCGTCCTCCCCCCGTCTCTACCCACAGGCCGCCCGTGGCTGCTCACATCAAATTCAAAGTTGTGGTCCTGGCATCCAGGGCTCCTCGGAGAGTTGCACGGGTGCATCTGCAGGCAGTGGTCTCGCCGCGTTGAGCAGCGCGTCCTGCTGCGGCGCACGGCTCAGAGGGCGCGCTGCTGCTCCCCGCGGCGGCTGCGGCGGCGCCTCACCTGGCCTTGACCCCTCCCTCGGTGGCTTCCCAATAGCCACTCCGGGGCGAGACGGCGCCAATAAATCACAAAACAGTTTTTTGTTTGTTTGTTAAAAGCCCTCAATCCCCTGGAATGCCGTCGTATCCTCACTCTGCACCTGCTTCTAGTTTACTGAAGACGGTTCTGAGGTCATTAGCATATCTTCATCAGACACCATCACAGGAATATTTCATTATCTTTCGCCTGCGATAACAGCGCCAGCTAATGCGTTGAAATTATTTCGTATGGACTTTGTTGTTTCATCGAATGAGATGATTTCTTAATGTATGTTTGATTCCTCACCGCCTCGCTGCATATTATAACACTTTTAACTGCAGCAGTGGGCTGGACTGCTTAAACCATCCTTCGACAGGAACAATATTAAAGCCAACAGATTTCAGTTCTTCATACACATAAGACATTCATTTGTGCATTTCATTCATAAGTTCACTTTTTGCTCGAGATTTTGGTCACATTTAAAGCGTAACTGTGACACATTCTTCTTCTTTTAGAAATCAGCCGGGCCCCTTCAACAGCCACATTTCAAAAAAATTGCACTTCTCTCTTTGAAAATCACTTGAAAGCCGGTTTATAGTGGCTGAAATGTTTTGCGGGCCTCCTTGAGTGTAAACAACACAAATAGTCAGGAAAAGTAAAACTTGCTCAAAGAAGCTTCCCTTGAATTCTTCGACTCGTTGGGTTTTACTCCAATTATCTGCAGTATATGGACACCTGAATGCGAGCCGCTGCTTCTCTCTGTTAATTTGTGCGATTTAGTTCACACCTGAGCTTTTCTGCACTCAGCCAGTTCATACGCACGTTATTCAATTCATTTATTCGCCACCTGCTCAGCATCTGCATTGTGCTTGTGGTTGATCACTCGGCCACAACGCGGTCCAAATCCAGCGTCTCCTCCAGGATTCTACTACCAGGCCATTGAAAATAGTTCTATTCGTCAGGATAAAAGAGGTGGACGTCGGCCTCGCCGACCGCAGGGGGAAATGCAAAGAACTCGACTAATTACTCTCTGGCGAGATTTCTTTTCTTTTTCCGACGAGCAGGATTAAAGCTTTTGAGCCAGATGGACCCGAGACGAAAGCCGGAAAGAGCAAACACAATCAGCAGTGAGCTTTTCCGACAGTCAGCGCAGTCACGACACCGCGGGCCCGGAACCATTAAGACGGCCGGGGCGTGTTTGACAGTTTGACCTGTGACCCGAGTCCTTCGTCCCAAAGCCATCGGCGTCCAGATCCCAGCGCTCACAGGCCAAGATGACGGGTCTCTCCGGGGCCTTCGTTTAGAAATACAGATGCTGTTTCCCGTGACCAGCCATCCATGCGTACATCTATCCACCCATCCATAAGTGCCACTCCTTCCATTTCATTTGTGTGTGTGTGTGTGTGTGTGTGTGTGTGTGTGTGTGTGTGTTTACACAGGGACATCCGGACACAAGGAGGGCTCAGCTGGGAGAGATAAAGTATACATTATGTGTGCGTTACAACACCTGGGGCACAAACTGTACATAGAAAGACTCACATTTACTTTAGTATGAATACTACGCGGTGTCTCACACACACACACACACACGCACGCACGCACACGTGCAGGTTGCCGCGGCTAAAAGGCATTTTAATCCTTTGATGATTCCGTTCTTTGACAGTCGCTCTTTGTGTGTGTGTGTGTGTGTGTGTGTGTGCGCGTGCGCGTGAAGTCCTCAGTTCCTCGTGAACTTTCTCTCGGATCAGCCGACACGGCGGGTGAAAAGGTCACAGAGTTCCACTTCCAGTTCCACACGTGCTGCGCTGCATCAGAGGGGGTCGACGCGGGAGGGAAATACTTTTAAACGCGCTTTAATAGGTTATGAGTATCATTCCATCCTTGAGCATCAGCGTCCGTCTGTCGGGCTCCTCGGCGTACGTACAGTAGGTGGGCTGTCGGCGCGTTTCGGGAGGAAGGCCCCCCCTCACTTAGGAGAAGGGGGGAGAGGGACGGGGAGGGAGACGAGGGGAAGGACAGCTGATATTTTAATCATGTAGGTTGGTTCTTCTTCTTCTGGAGGGCCCGGCTCTATTTAAAGCCCGGCAGCATCTGCTCAGCACCCCTGTGTTTTCAAGCACTGAGGAAAACACACACACACACACACACTCCATACAAGCGCTGCCCTTCAGCAGCATTCATGGTTACTATGCACTGTCATGATTCCAGGGAGTTCCGGAGTACAGTTGCGCTCACACACCAACTGTGAAATGTTAAACACGACGTAATTGTTGATTGTTGTGTGTTGCAGTAACAGCACAGCAGGAGGCTCCTACATTAAACAGTGCTGCAAGGGCTTCTGCATCGACATTCTGAAGAAGATAGCCAGGAACGTCAAGTTCACTTACGACCTCTACCTGGTCACGAATGGAAAACACGGCAAGAAGATCAACAACATGTGGAACGGCATGGTCGGAGAGGTGCGTCCCACTTGTCTCTCTCTTACTACCCAAACAGACCGGTCTGACTCTTGGAGATTATTGGGAGGCGTCAATATGCTCACGGGGCTCCTTGGAAGATGAGGAGATCGACGCCGCTAGTGTGTTTTTTTTTTTCTTTTCGTGGTAAATATTAAGCTGCAGCCAAGTAGCTTATCGCAGCGTGGACTGGAAACACGAGGAACCGGCTGGTCTGACTTTGCCCAACTTAACATTAATCCACCGAGCAGCACCCCCTCTGGCTCACTGATAGCATGTTAGGACTTAAAGCTATATGTGTGTTTGTGCTGCCTCGTATACCCAAAGGTCAAAGTATTCAGCAAGGAAGCAAATATAAGGTTCTTAATAAAACGTTTCAAGCATATGTGTAGCGAAACACACACAGGGAGAGCAGCTCAGGTAGACTTAATATCTCCTCTTTGCATTGCAAATTGTTGTTTGTTGGCATATTAAAGGTCTGGCACTTTTTGAATGACACGTTAGATATATCGTTTGGTTGCATACTGCCAACTGCCTCTCAGGTTGAACGTTTTGCTTGTTCATTCCTTGGTGAAGTTTTTAATAAAAGTAATGACCGTTTGGTGCGTTCGAGTCACACTCAGTCATCGCTATGTGACACAGTCAATAATAGTTCTCTTTGGGGCTTTGAGCTCCACACGATTAACTGGATAGTAATTTGCTCACCCACAGACTAAATTCGGAGGGTATTTGGAGAGCGCAGACCTCAATAAATTCCAAAATCAAAAGGGTTCACCCATGGCCTTGACTTTACCCTCGCACCAAATTTCATAAGAAATCGAGGCAGTAGTTTCTTTCATTATTCTGGTGACAAACAGACAAACAAACCGGATCAAAGGCATCACCTCCCGGGCAGAGGTAATTGACGCTGAGTGCTGTCACAGTAGAATCCTTAAAGGTGGAATGCAATACGTCTGACGATGGAAGCCGACAATATGATTGTTGTAACGGTAACGTGAGCAGACCGCTGGGAACCTTTTAGTGAATTAAATCCGAAAGAAACCCATAACATTTTACCGCATTAAACTGAAAACGCCATCTTCATGCGCCGACTCGCCGTCTGTCAGGATTCATCCAAACAACCAGAAATGATGGAAGAATGAAAAAGACAGTTGTATGTTTCACTTTCCATCGTATACGTTCGAAAATGCCCTCCAACTGCAGCCGACATTCTGAGCTCGTACCCTCAGTCACTGTGATATTTCACATCCCCAGTAAAAAAAAAAAGCACCAACGTATCAAAGGCAAATTGTTTGATGTTTTCCCAGAGCCGACTATATTTATATGTCAGCGCACGTGGTGAGTCACTCACTCACTGTGACCATCCCACCCTCCGTCCACCAGGTGGTGTATAAGAAGGCGGTGATGGCGGTCGGCTCGTTGACGATCAACGAGGAGAGGTCGGAGGCCATCGACTTCTCCGTGCCCTTTGTGGAGACGGGCATCAGCGTCATGGTGTCGCGTAGCAACGGGACGGTCTCTCCGTCGGCCTTCCTGGGTAAATCTCTCACCGCACGGCCGCTCGCTGTTTCCTTTGCCCCCCTGCAGCGAGCGGGCAGCGAGGGGCCGAGGCGATGGCACAACCACGTGCATGAAGCGGCATGTTTCACTGGCCACTCGCACCACGACTTCATCTCGGCACCGTGAGAACAGTCGCAGCGGAGCGGAGGAAGCGGAGCGTGCGAGCTGTTTTTCCCGAAAAATCTCCTCCAACATTCCTCTTCCTCTTCCTCTTCCTCCTCCTCTTCCTCCTCCTCCTCCTCCTCCTCTTCCAGTGGTTCAGATGACTAGAAGCTGAAGCGCTCCTTTGTGCTCGCCTAATGTCTTGCATTGTCATTGGAGCGAGCCGGGGAGCGAGGGGACGTACTGGACCATCCTGGTGTGTTGGTCCCTGTGTACCAAGCATTGTGTCATGCGTGTGTGCGTGAAAATGGGGGCGGGGTGTGTGTGTGTGTGACACTGCACGTATGTATTAGGATGTTTGCGTATTGAATCAGGGGCGTGTGGAGAATGGATGTGCTTTGGCCGTATGTACGTTAAAGGATGAATGCTTTGTGTGTGTGTATTTATATCAAAGCACGTTGTGGGTGTGCGTCTGTGTGTGTGTGTGTGTGTGTGTTGAGCCTGGCCCAAGGTATCAGTGACGGTTCAGTATCCCTCGCACTCATATTAGAGGCACCTCAGTGCACAATCTCTCAGGGTTGGCCGACCCTAGCGGTCACATACTTAGACATACAGTGACAAACACGCACACGCACACGCAATTTGTCCGGGTTCCTCTCTGGCACGCGTCCCGCTCTCTGAACTCCCGCCCTGCCGCACGCCAAACACACGCGGACTCACACTCTCACTCGCCCAGATCACATACCAACAGATCACACACACACGTGCCCACAGCGGGGCACATCAGATCACTCAGAGTCTGATTCCTCTCTCCCTCTCTCCTCTCCTGTATCTCCCCCCTCCCCCCGCCTCCCCCCGCCCCGGGCCTCTCCCCCTCTCAGCTCTCATCCAAGGGAATAATGAGAAATATGGAAATGTGCTCCGTCAAACTCTCTGTGACTAACTCCCCCTCCCTCCCCCATTCTCACTCCATCTGCCTCCCTTTTCTCCCCTCTCCGGGTCTCCTCTATCATCTTCTCCTCGCTTTGTCCGCCCCCATCCTTCCTCTGCCCTTTTTGTTCGGCGTCTCCTTTATGTCTCCCCTTCCTCTCCGTCCCTCACTTCTTCTGCATCCCCTGCTCCTGTCTCATGGACTCGATTTCTCTTTAACTCTCCTCCCCTCCTCCCTCTCTGTCTCCCTCCCCCTCCCTCCTCCCCCTCACTCGCAGAGCCCTTCAGTGCATCGGTGTGGGTGATGATGTTTGTGATGCTGCTCATCGTCACGGCCATCGCCGTCTTCCTCTTTGAGTTCGTCAGTCCGCTGGGCTTCAACCGCAACTTGGCCCAAGGCAAAGGTAGCCTCACACACACACACACACACACACACACACACGCACGCACTCGCACACGCATAATCAGTAAGATCACACAAATCGTCGCTCCCAGCTGCACGAAGCAAAGATCAAAGCTTCCCTTGGAGCAGAGGAAGTGACCTATTATTACCATGGACTTGAGACGGTCCACTTAATGTAACGCAGCATTAACAAGTCTCTTCTCAAGCTGGTCACGTCGTCCGAAATCCGCCCCCCGGAGACGCCCCGCCGGCACGGAACCTCAGATTAATGTCGTGATCCGCAAAATTACATTTCTCAATACAAATATATGAATACTAAATGACCTTAAGGCCGAGGCATTTGTTGAACGAACATGTTTTTTCACATTATTTTTTTCTTTCAGCACACCGAACACGTGTTGAGTTTGCTTAATTTTTTAATTTAATTAATTGTCTGTTCAATATGAAGCTGAAGCTTTGCAGCTCAGCGCACAGACGGGGGGGGAACCGGTGGAACAAGCTCGCCCGTCCAAAGACAACTGAATCCGTCCGCCAGCCTCTCTTAAGCTCGCTAATTAACAATTACATCTGATTTGTTTAATCCGTACAAAAGCTGAGGAGTAAAAACAACATGTTGGGGAATGTGCCAGACGTACGGGGTGGTCGGCACTTCAGTCCTATTGTCATTGTGAGTTTGCCAACCTTCCCCCGACTGCTACGCCGAGCCAACCGGGCTGCTGGCTTTCGCTCAATATTTACAGTACAGATTTAAGAGCGCTCATCGCCCATCAGGGCCCACTTTGATATAAACTCTCATGTTGGTTTTTAAGTTCGAGTTGATATTAACGACGAGCCGACGTCTCATAGGAGGTTGTTTTGCTGGTGCAGGTCAAAATATGAAGTAGCTTTTTTACCCTTTCTCTCTGTCAGAACATGCTTTCAGATCCACTTGCACGAAGGTTTACTCCCCACGTCACACCGACGGTGGCTTTGACTTGATAGAAGTAAAGGTCAATCTAGTTGGACAAAATACTTTCTTGTCTGCAGCCATTAATCACGCGCGCAAACCCAAGAAAACGTGGCCTGTCGTCCACAATAAGTCTAGCAGGATTTGTGAGCTGTGAGCATTACTGAAAGGCAATAATAATGGCACGTTATATTTGATATGTACAGCGTCACCCCTCTGAAACTAGATCATAAACTCTTTTAACATCAAGGCAGGAATCTGAAGGGAAAACATAATAATTTATATCGCGAAATAAGCCTCACACAGCACCAGTCTCACTCCCCCCTCTGCTCCTCTGCCTCTCCCTCAGACCCGCACGGCCCGTCGTTCACCATCGGTAAGGCCGTTTGGCTGCTCTGGGGTCTGGTGTTCAACAACTCGGTTCCGGTGCAGAACCCAAAGGGCACCACCAGTAAGTTCATCGTGTCGGTCTGGGCCTTCTTCGCCGTCATCTTCCTGGCCTCCTACACCGCCAACCTGGCCGCCTTCATGATCCAGGAAGAGTTTGTGGACCAAGTCACCGGGCTGTCCGACAAGAAGGTGCGTCCACGCGCGCACACGCACAGGAGAAGCTAAACACATTCACAGGTGGGGTTGCTCTTGTAATGGACGCCGGCCCTGCGGCCAGACAGGGCTCTTTGGGGAGCGCCCCTGGGCTTCGACATCAGAACCCTCTGGCCTTAGCTGTCACCAAGCTAACACTGCCAGCGCAGCGCACCCGGGGGACACACACACACACACACACACACACTGATGTATAGATCAAAGACCTGTGTGTGTGTGTGTGTGTGTGTGTGTGTGTGTGTGTGTGTGTGTGTGTGTGTGTGTGTGTGTGTGTGTGTGTGTGTGTGTGTGTGTGCTGAGGCCGGCAGTGTCAGCAGAACCTGCCCGGCGTACGCTAGGCTGGACACACAATGATGATGACTGATGAGTCCTCTGCACTGTCCCTCCCTCGTCCTCCGTCTCCTCTTGTCACTCTCCTTCTTCCTCTCTCCTCCTACGTGACTCTCCTTCACCTTGCCGCCTCCCCCCCCCTCCTCTTTCTCATACTTCTGGGTCTTTTAGCTTCTTTGCTTTTTCTTTTGTTTCCGTGCTCTTAACACTTTGTCTCTCTTTTTGCTCTCCTCATTTCTCTCACCACAGTTCCAGAGTCCTTACTCCTACTCCCCTCCGTTCCGCTTCGGGACGGTTCCCAACGGCAGCACCGAGCGCAACATCAGGAAGAACTATCCAGACATGCACCAGTACATGACCAAATACCATCAAACCGGTGTCACGGACGCGCTGGTCACCCTCAAGACCGGGTACGGTTGACCTCCCGTTTGGCGGGAGATTTCTTAGGCCTTGTCTGCAGACTGGCTCACGTGCGTGAGAGCGTTGGAGAACGAACTAAGAAAGACGTGCGGGCGAAACCTCGGCCCCGTGGGCCTCGGCACCAGCTGCTGCTAAAGCGCCGCAGAATGCGCTCAGTGTTTGTGCCTCCGACGGTAAAAAAGCAGACGCTGCCTACGAGTGCTCATAATTGACTCTTGTTGCTGCTGGGAAGATGGAGCTGCCAAAATAGGGGGAGAGTAATTTGCTGCCTTTATTCTCCCTCCCAAACGCACACTAATGGAGGGACGGCTGCAATCTTTTTGTTGGTTCATTTGTTTTGTGCGCTTTCATGTTTTGAGTATTTTCTAAAAAAATATTGTTTTACTTGTAGCCGCTCAGCAAGCACTTCATTGATAAAGGAATATTAAATATGTGAGGTTTGTTGTTCATACCTCATAAGTTACAGGTGGTTTATACAACTGTATAATTAATGGGCCTTTCATTTAATTCTTGCTTAAAATTGGTTGTTAAAATCAGAGAAACTGTTAACACTTTGAACATTATTCTCTTTAATCAATGAGCATCGTATTGCTTTCAAATGCTCTATATACTTAATAAATATGAAATTCTGTGCGTACAGATGCTCAGAGGCTGCGTTTAACATATGCCCTTTGTTGAACGGCTTAATTAACATTCATCCATCCTTAACGTGGAAAAAACCCAGAGGGATTGATCAGCACCCGGGTGCATTCATGGGGTTATATACGACCTTTCGGAAGAACGGATGGTGCAGCCCTTGTTTCGTTGTGTCTGGTTAACATACATCATACATCACGCCCGTGTTTCTGCTGAGCCCAGATGTATCGAGCTCTCACTGCAGGAACGTCGTGTCAGAAAAATGACAAAACCTGAGACTAGAAGATTATAGCTCAGTAAGAACGGAGACATGCTCGTATAAGTGACGATTTACTGCTCCGGCGTGCGAGCCGGAGAGAACCCAGTCGAAATCTGCTCCAAGGAAAAACAAGAGAATCATTTCTACAATTGGAACCATTTGTTATATTTTTTAAGATTGAGGGCTGGTAGAAAAAATCTTATATCATCTTCTTTTGCAATAAAGACGAACCCCAAATATGTAGTTTGTGGAATGAAACCTCCTTTGTTAAAACGAGGAGCATTAGTACGGCAGCAAACACAACACTTAATGCAGTATGAGCGACCTGAGCAGAGAACGAACCACCGATCTGAGGTTCTACCTTGTTACGTTGATAAAAAATACCCTCACAGATGTATCACGCACGGGCTGGAGACCTCTGCTCCGGATAGTAAATCCTGTCTGTGTGTTTTCCTTACAGAAAGCTGGACGCTTTCATCTACGACGCCGCGGTGCTGAACTACATGGCCGGCAGAGACGACGGCTGTAAGCTGGTCACCATCGGCAGCGGCTACATCTTCGCCACCACGGGCTACGGCATCGCCTTGCAGAAGGGCTCCTACTGGAAGCGCCTGGTGGATTTGGCCATCCTGGGCATCATAGGAGACGGTGAGGCGCTCGCACCCGTCCGCCGCCCTGCAGCGCCTGAGTCACGCGGCGGTCGGGTGGAAGTTTCTCACGCGATCGGGGCTTTTTATCGTTGTAATAGTTGTGCCATTACGCAGCATTCCCTCCTCCCTCACCCTCCCCTAGCGCTCTCCCTCTCCCCTCCCTCCCTCTGTCAGAAAGCTATCAGGGGCTAGTCTTAACACACCATTTCATCATCATTACACTGTGTGTGTGTGTGTGTGTGTGTGTGTGTCCACCATGTCCTGCTATGTTTACTCCTCCAGATTGTTCTGTATAATAAGCTGTGAGATGCTGCGAATGGAGGAAAGAGAACGAGCCGGACCAAAACCCACTAAAGCGCTCCGCTTCGCGCCCAGCCTTTTTATTTGGGGCAAACACACGCGTGTGTGCACGCGACACACAAACAACCCTCGGCCTGATGATAATTCCACCCATCTTTTCTTATCGCTCCATCACTATCAATTCTTCTCCCCCCTCCTACAAGCCTTTTTTCACTCCACCTCCCCGTCTCCTTTTCATTACGATCCATTTGCCACTTCACTCCTCGCCCCTTCTCCCTCCTCCCCTCCGGCTTTCCTCCTAACGATGTGGCCTTTTTCCCTTTCTCTCGACCTCGTTTTATTCCTTCTCCTTCATTCCTTGCCCCAACCTCCAGCCATCTTCATCTTCACCTCCACTTCCATTAAGCTATTGGGGAGGACTTCATCCCCCTTCGATTTGCATATTGAACCAGCAGGGGGTTGCAGGACGCTGCCATAACTCGATATAAAAGCACTTAGAGGGTAGTAAAAACCATGTTTTTTGTGGACTCCTCGTCTGCCTGCAACACTATACACCCCCACCTGCTGGTGCAGAAACTTGCAGAGTGCTTTGGATTGGACTCAAACAATGTGGGATGGATTTTGGACTTCCTCACTAACAGGACTGAGAGCAAATTTGCTTCTATGTGGTCCGTCTGTAAGGCTGCGTCCTCTCTCACAGGTCACGCTCAGCAGTGACAATGCACTGATTACAGACGTCACCCGCAAACCTCAAACTTCAAACGCTTTAATCACCGGATGCCGAGAGATTTAGAGTTGGGGATGTTTGACAATAATTTGACCAAAGTTAAGCCGAATAAGAAAAGCAGCAGCCTCTTTGATTGTCTGAGGGGGCTAACCACGTTCCCGGGTTACTTATCCCTAATGACACTGATTTATTAATATTTTATTCAGTCAGTTTACACTTGCCTTCAGCGGGTACGAATCCCTCAACCTCAAACAGAAATACTCATTAACAAAGTTGATGAAAGTCAGCGGCGAAATCGCCGCCGAGCAGAAATATGCATTTGAACTGCACAACAAACAGATGTTATAGAAAGCAGAAGCCGTTATCTCGGGTAGCACCCACCCCGATTTCAGATGTAAATGATCCTACATAACCTCTGCCGGTGTGATCTTTCCACATGTGGTCATGCACGTGTGTCCGTCAACATGGAGCCTTGTGTTGTTATTTCCACCGCAGCAGAAAAGCAGTCGCGCTCGCGGTGACAAGCACAGGTCTTGAACGTTCCTCAACTCTCCCGCAGGTGAGATGGAGGAGCTGGAGGCGCAGTGGCTGACTGGGATCTGCCACAGCGAGAAGAACGAGGTGATGTCCAGCCAGCTGGACGTGGACAACATGGCGGGCGTCTTCTACATGCTGGCCACAGCCATGGGCCTCTCCATCCTCACCTTCATCTCCGAACACCTTTTCTACTGGAGGCTGAGATACTGCTTCACCGGCGTCTGCACGGGGAGGCCGGGGCTGCTCTTCACCATCAGCAGGGTGAGGATGAGGAAACGGGTCTTCTCCACTTCTCCGGCAACCGATGTACTCGGGGTGGGGATTTGTTGTAGTGACGTACAGAGAGAGCGGGAAGTACACACAGAGACAAGGCCAGTCAAACAGAGCGTTGCTGTATTTGTAAATTGTCTCAATGCAGATTCATAAGAAGAAAACAGAACAACAAAAAAGCGAGACCTTGTGACTTTGAAGACAGCGTATGTGGGGTTTAAACATCACACACGTTACATTACAAAGACAATTGTCTGTTGCATCTCTGACAGTCTAATTGGCCTCAGCTTCTTCAGATGCATTGGAAATGCAAACCTGCAGGCCGAAACATGATTGTAATGGACAATCATTAGTCCGAAAGCACACAATGGTTACTGTCGACATATAGAAGGAGGTATACAGGGGGTACATACTGTGTGTGTGTTTCATAAAAGGTTATGAATTGGAGATGAACTAGCTGCTGCACAAAGGGACGGCAGGGTAGAGGAATCAAAGCATGCTGTGGAAACACACAACACAAACATCTGTCATATCTCATAACACACATACAGGAGGAGTAAAGGGATGGACAGACTTGACCACATGGGTAGACAGACAGACAGACACACACACACACACACACACACACACAACAGAAATGGGTACATCTAGACAGACCATTCTTTTATTATTCATATGTCATGTCTCTCGGTGAGGAAGGGCTTTTATTCCAGACGAACAGCATTTCACACATTAAATGTTTTACAAAAATAGTGCGATGTCTGTCTGTGTGTAAGTTTGTGTGTGTGTGTGTGTGCGTGTGTCTTTCTCTCCGTGTGCGCCTGCCGTTGGAGCAGCGATGCAGGAGGTTAAGTGGCTTCAGGAAGAACATCTCCTTGCACTCTAAGGCCCTCTGCAGTGACATCATCACCTAAATTTTATTTTCTTGGGGCCTCTGAGAGCAGTTCATCAAAAAAAAAAGTGGCGATTGTCTTTTCTTGTCACATTACGAAGGAGGAAGGATACAGAGGTCTCTCTTCATTTACCGGACACGGAAATAAGTCTTTTGCCCGTTTGAACCTTTTCCTCTGAAGTTATTGTGTTGGGAAATGACTCTTCTACTGTCTTACTCATCTCCCCTCCCCTCTTCTCCTCTCAGGGTATATGGAGCTGTATCCACGGCGTCCATATAGACATGAAGAAAAAGAACCCCGAGCTGGACTTCAGTCCTCAAGCCAACATGCTGCATCTGCTCAAGTCCGCCAAGTCCATGGCTTTGTCTTCTCCGAAACGCAACACTGTCCTCCTGCAGCCCAACATCCTGGATGTGATGTCGGGGAAAGGTACTGTAACTCTATTTATGTTTTACATTTTACCGCCGCACAGAGAAGGCAAACATACCGGCCCGTGATGACATTGCTCACACGTAGGCGAGGTCACCCTGCCTTTTTCTATACCGCCAACGTAAGCTTATCGGCAGGTGACTCTTTTTACCTCGTTGTGCGCTCCGGACTCTAATCCGATCAAGACCGTCACGTTAAAGCTCGCCTCATGATTAGAAAAACATTAGGTGGCCCTGCCTGCTGTCTAAGGTGCTTCTCTCCTTGTCTCCTAGGTAACTCGCTGCACAGCCTGGCCCCGAAGGGTCCCGGTCTCTATAGCAACGCCGCTGGTCCGCACAGTTTCTTGTCATTGTCCGGACGACACAAAAACCTCCTGAACAATGCCGCGCCGTTCCCCGGGCAGAAGAAAGCCCCCCCTCTCCAAACCAGCCCCAACAAGCCCCAGCTGTCAATCACCAACGACAACGGCAAGACCCGCCTGGCGGGGGCGGGCCTCTCCGCCGGGCCGCAGGGCTCAAAACCGCGAGCCCTGTGGAAGAAGAGCGTGGAGACGTTGAAGACTCAGCCCGCTGCCGCATCTCCGGGGCCGAGCCCCGTGCCGTCGTCCGGACCGGGGCCCGCGACGATGAAGAGCCAGCGCTACCTGCCCGAAGAGCCGCCGCACTCCGACATGTCCGAGTGCTCCAGCCGGCCGCCGTCGCACAAGGATTCCGATTCCGTGGCGGCGGCGAGGGCGGGCGGTTTCAAGCCTATCAATCAGCTGAGGAAGAGGGGAGGGGCGGGCGGGGGCGGAGGATCCAAGATCTACTCCATCGACTCAGACCAGGCCAGCCTCCAGTCCGCTCCGCCCTACCAGCGAGACAGCCAGGGGGGAGGCGACGACCACAGTTACCCCCCTGACCTGTTTCCGCCCGACAACACGTACTCGCACACCCACACGCTCTCCCACCAGGCGGACGCACCCATCCTGCAGCTGAGCGCCAGCCTGCTGCACCACAGCCACAGCGCAGAGGCCGACCTGCACTCCCTGAAGGACAAGAAGTACAGCACCTACACGCACAGCAGGTACCGCGGCCCGGCAGGACACCGTGACCACGTCTTCAGGTGCTCTTAATTGTTCGTGTATAATCCATGTCGTCCTCTCTCCCTGCAGCTCAAAGGACAAATCGGCCGGCTCGTTCGACACCCCGGGTGCAGGTCAGGGGACGCAGAGCGTCCGGCCCGGCCACTGTCGCTCCTGCCTCACCAAGCTGAGCGGCTACTCCGGCCTCTACACTGTCCGCTCGCCGGGGGCTCGCTGCGACGCCTGCGCCCACCTGGGGAACCTGTACGACATCCGGGAGGATCACCTGCACTCGCACTACTCCCACCCGCACGCCCACCCGCACGGCGGGGACATGTTCACGCACTACCTTCCGCAGAGCGAGCTGGGCCTGGTGGGCGAAGGGGACGGGCTGGTCAGCCACTTCGAGCCCCCGCCTTCCTCCCCGTCGCCTCTGCCGAGCGCCTCCTCGGCACAGCACCTCCAGCTGAGTCGCCAGCACTCCTACGAGAACGTGCTGCCGGACGGCGTCCCCGACCGGCAGTCGCAGCTGCACTCCCACCTGCGGGGGCTGAGCCTGCCCGACAGAGATAGGGAGAGGGAGCTGACCCTGGACGAGGGGGCCTACGCCAACGTGCTCACCATGCGCTCCGATCGACCGTTCAGCAGCCGCAGCCCGCCGTCTCCGTCACCCTCGCACCACCACAGCCTGGACGCCCCCATGGCCCTCCCCCGCCGCTCAAAGAGCCTCTTCCCCGATCGGCCCTCCCACAACCCTTTCCTCCAGTCGGCCCCCGGCACGACACAACGAGATCCCTCCCCCCAGGCTGTCGCGCGCATGCCACAGAGAAGTTCCGCCCACGAGCTCTATAAGCAGCGGATGCCGCTGTCGCTTACCCTCGGTAACCATGGCAGCCATCACAACAGCCAGCATGGCGGCCTTGTCGACCAACAGGTGTTCTACCCTCAGCAGGAGCCCCCCGTGGTGGCCTACATGGTCCCACCCGCCGCCTCTCAGCCAATGAGCTATGTGACAGCGCCGCGGGCCTCGAGCGCCGGCGGCAACAGGCCCCGCCTCTACCGCCGCATGCCCAGCATCGAGTCCGACGTCTGAGGGCCGCGCGCAACATGCGCACTCTCACGTAGAGACCCGCTGACACGCACGCATGCGAGACGGAGGCGTGCGTGTGACTGGAACCAGACTGCGCACAGACACACACGGACACACACGGACACGTGCGCACACGCACACACGCACGCAGCGGGAGGACGCTGAGGTTTGCTCTGGACTTAAAGGTTAATGCTGAGTAAATAAATGGTTGTTGCTTCATCGCGCCCTCTGCAGGAAAGGGTCGGGGGGCCACAGGGACACAAGATGCAGACTGCGTGTGAGTGTCGGCGTGTGCGCGTGCGTGTGTGTGTGTGTTACCAGCCTCGAGCTTCGGGCAACGAGGCGCAAACGGACAACCCGTCCGACGAGACGGACGGAACGGGAGGGACACTGTGCAACGCCGATGGTGGGACCTGACGAGAGATGCAACCGCTCGTGTTTGGAAGACGAGCCGACTTGTCCCGCCCCCTCACCAGCCTCTGGCAGACGAAGGGGGTCTCACAGAAATCCCCTTTCTTTATGATATCACACACACACACACACACACACACACTTATTTTAGCTAAACACTCTGCGGGACTCTCCCAGGCTGGTTTCTACAGTCGGCCCGTACGATGCCGGCGTGGCTTAGAGAGTAAACTCAATAGTAAATTACTTTCTTTGTAATAGTCGAGACTGGGAGGCGGGCAGCTGGTCGGGACGAAGGCCTGAGGAGCGTCTGCCCGCAGATGTACAAACACTCGAACACACACACGCGCGCACACTGTGTCTGTGTCGGGGGGGGGGGTTAAAACTACCGACTGTGTTGTTGTTGTTGTTGTTGTTGATGTCAGTTAATTGAACATTCCAAAAAAGTGGACCGAGCGTCGCCCGTCAGGACGAGAGTGTGTGTTCTAGTGTTTCTAGATCTAGAGTACAGTATAGCATCCTTGCTTCCTCTCCTAGCTAGCCTTCAGGTCTTAATGCATGCTTCCTACTGCCCTGTGTTACAGTGAAACTCCTATACAGGGTCATATATGCACACACACACACACACACACACACATATATATATATATATAAATGCACACACACATGCACATACGCAGTAGTCTAGGATAGTAGTTTAGGGTGTGTGTGTGTGTGTGTGTGTCGAAGCTATGAGATAGTTTCTCTCCGTGCACTTTGTAGATTTTATATCCTGCCACCTGACACAGACGTTTGACCAAAAACACTTTTGTACTGAAAGATGTGAATATTCTCAATCATTCGCTGGATAGATGTTTCCTTTTCTCTTATTTCTCTTTAGCGTTGGCTTTTAGGGGCACCGTTGATTTTCCATTGTGAGGTCAGAAGCATCAGAGTGTTGGATAATGGGGACATTATCATACGATACACACAGCAACAACCCTTAAGCTTTCTCTTATTTCCTTAACTTTTACAGCGCTCACCCCTCCTTCATCCGGCCTTCCCTTCTTCCCTCATCAGCTTTCGTTCATCCCCTTAATCTCTCCTTCCATGCTCCCTTCTATTATAGATTGAGTAACAGAAGAATAAAGTTCAGTCTTGGTGTTTTTGAAACACAACATATTGTTGGAATTCACTTTATTTCAGTAGAAAAAGCGTTTCATAACTCTTTCTGTTGAGCAAAAGGCCTGCGGGCCCGTTGTCATGCTTCCGTAGAGGATTCGGAAAGCTGAGCGCGTCGCTGGTGCAGATTTGCTCACCAAACGAATCCTCCTGGACGGGCGTCAGGGCGCCTGGTGCTCGCGCGTCTCTCTGTTTGGCGACGAACAGCAGAGGGTCACGCGGCAAAGCGGGGAGTTTTGCGAATTGACTCGTTACAGAGGCAACACTCACACACGCGCACGCACTCGACAAGCTGGCAATGTGTGTATGAGTGTTCTAGAAATCCATATATCTACTGAGTAAGGGCATCGATTTATGAGCACAAGCATTTTGATGGAAAAAAGACTTGATGTCCCATTAGCTGAGCGTCTGTCTCTATTCTCCTTTCTATACTCTATTCTCTCTCACACACACACACACACACACACACACACACACACACACCACACACATAGCTCTATATATATTGGCTGCAAGGAATGCAAGACAGTTGAAACAAAAAAAGGCACCTTTTTGAACGGCTGCCCCTCTTTTGGTATTCTTACCAGGTTTGGTGTGTGAGTTATATGCACAATATCAGGTTGCAATATTATACTTCTGTACAGAGAAATCTTTGTTTTAAATGTTAAAAACGAATATCATTTGTTTGATTTGAATGGTATTAAGTGTAGGATTCATTTCAATAACAACGTGGCTTTTTATTCAGCTTTTTTTAAAAGACCAAAAAAAAAAAAAAAAGACTGGCATGTTTTTAGATTCTCGTGTGATTTCTTTCCTTTCCTCTGGTGTGTTGTTGGTTGGGACCTCACTGTACAGTCCTCACTGCCTGGTTAACACACTGGTTAACCCGTCCTGCTCACCGGCTAACTAGCCACACGTAGCTGGGTCTTTCATCTGAATCACGCTCAATGAATAATGAGAGTCCGGCCTGCGTGGTGGATACGAGCCCCCTCCCACCCACGTACTTCTCTTCCACTACGAGTCTGTGCTGTTGTGCGCGAGGGTGTGCGAGAGTGTGTACATGTGTGTGTTTTACACCGTGCAGGCATTTATATAAGTCAGTGGACGGTATGTGTAACAAGAGGTTGTTTGTGGTGTGTGTGTGTTTGTACTTTTCTGTACTCTCTTTGGTTCGTCCCACACATAACATTTGACCCGGCTCTTACTCATCTAACACAAATACTACACACACACACACACACACACACAAACCCATGTTGCGTCTGTACTGTCTTTGGTTAAGAGAGCACGTAGAATGAGTTTTGTGCGTCCAACCGATTTTTTTTCCACCAACCGATTCTTTTGATCATTTCTTTTAAATTGCATGACGTGCTCGTGTTTCTGGTGGTACCTATTTTGCTGCAACACCTGAGTTCTCCCCGAGTTGACCTACTGAGGCTACATGCACCAACGCACCCCCCCCCCCTTCCACGACTCCCCACCCTGGTTAGCGACGCCACATCCTGCGGCCTGTGATGTCAGCAAAGGCGCCACGCTGGCTCCTGCACAACGCCAGCCGCCGGCGAGGAGCGCGCGGTCAGCGCTTCTCCGCTTGGGTGGCGACAGACAGGCGTCGTACGCGCAGCACCGGGTGGAAGGAGTGCGTTGGTGTGCAGTCCTCCGGGTCTCCCTGCCGTGTATCTCACTTGTGTATAAGTTCAGGGGTTTCTAAGCTACTAGTTGTGTTGTAAATACTACCTTGTCACTCAGTACCTCTGTACAATCTGTAAATAAGTAAAGGTTACATTTTTCTACTCGTGTGGATCTTGTTGATTAATCTTTTTTATTTCTCTAACTGTCAATGTGTCTGTCAGTCCGTCGTGTATCTAAACTATTCATTGCAAAAATAAAATAGTTTTTGATGGCTTATTACTGATTAATAATAAGTAATAAGCCATTGGGGGATAGAATATTGAGCTTAAAGGGGAACAGCAACAATTTCCATCTGGTGTTTCCATGGACAAGAGTTTAATTTATCTTTTGGAAAATGAGCTTTTCAGCTTCTCTTTCAATGAGAACATGTGTACTGTGGACCTGAAGGCTCGACAAGGTGCTCTTCCAAAAAGTCTAACTTGTCCAATCTCATTTCCGATGATTCATTTAACGAAGTTATGTGGAGGATACACACCAGGCTGTGACTCAAGATTATTGGGTCAGACATTTATTTCTGAGGTCCAGGGAAATTAACTTTCAGCTTCTTGGTTGCGTTAATTAATGATGACATCACTGCAAACGTAATGGCTAATTAGAAAGTCTGCAAGTCAGAGGCTTCTCACTTCCTAATAAGCCATCATGTCTGCAGTTAATAAGTTGAGTTAATAATTGCATCATGAATGAACTTTTTGTCGTCTAGCCGCACGGCTCTTTGGGTCTCTTGGTTGGTCCACACTGAATCATCTCAGGAACCATTTGATGGATTACCATGAAACTTTAATTCTTGATCCTTAGAGGATGAATCATTCAGCATTGGTTTGCCGTTTTCAATTAAATCTCAACAATAATTCAACTAGAGATTTGGTACTAAACCTGCACGCTTTCATCTGGATGATTTGCAATAACTATTTCATTATCTTCGTGAAATTGTTAAATGTGTGTGTTCATATGGCCAAATAACGGCACAAATTAGCTTCAGGTGCACTTTGAGTTGAGTTCTGATTTGCAAATGTCAGCATGGTGAGACTAACTACCATTACACCTAAACGTTAAGAGCATGTTAGAAATGTTCATGTGTAATGTTACAATACAGGCTGCAAAGGCTTACGAATCTGATACTAACGTGTCTTAAACTTTAAATATCTCTAATGCCAATCAAAATTGTATAATATTATAGTAAATGAATATTATTCTGATTTGATTCATCTCCACATGAGTTTATGTTCTCAGTCATGAGATCAAGTTTCTTCAATATAGCATTGTGTTGATTTAGTTTATCATTGTTCCACTGTGAGTAAATTAGGGTGATTTTACAGATAATACCTTAAGGCGGGGCCACCTTGTGATTGACAGGTCGCTTCCACCGCGTTGTGCAGTCTGAGAGTTACCAGAATTACACTTTTCACATTGTGTTTTAGAGGAGTAAATTATAACGTTTTGTTACCTAAAAACGTCTTACTGGTCTTTTCTTCACCCCATCGTGTCCCTTCTGCACAAAAGACTTCATCCGCTTCTTGCACGCTGTCTGTTACCACGAAGACTTCAGAAGGTAAACAGTGGTTCTCATTAAAGTAATACAACTGGTTGTGGAAAATAAACAACCTGCTATCTGTCCATCTATCATCTATCCTTTAAATACATACACATATATATGTTTATATAGCTGGCTGTCTATCATCTATCCTTTAAATACATACACATATATATGTTTATATAGCTGGCTGTCTATCATCTATCCTTTAAATACATACACATATATATGTTTATATAGCTGGCTGTCTATCATCTATCCTTTAAATACATACACATATATATGTTTATATAGCTGGCTGTCTATCATCTATCCTTTAAACACATACACATATATATGTTTATATAGCTGGCTGTCTATCTCTCTCTGCAATCTGCTGACTACTAAAGGGGCTTTTTTAGGATCCTGCTGCAAAAGCTCTCTCCACCCCACTCCACGAATGCTCCCATGATGCACGCTTAGCATGTGTGCGTCAGTGCACGCTCGTGTGTATGTGTGCACTTTGTGTCTGTGCATGTGTTTAGATCAGTGTTCTGCTAAAAAGCTTTATTTTTATATTTTTTGTCTCCCTCAGGAGACGGACGCTGTAATCTGGGCTGAAGTGGGACAGCAGAGAGGAGCACACGTAGACAGACAAACACACACACGCACACACGCACACACGCACTTACTTATGCTGTAAATCAGCACACACCGAGGCTGAGAGATCAGTCACAAGCCGCGGACCAACGAGGGAGCCCGACGGAGGGTCCCGCCGCAGACGCACAGATTTTATTTGAAACGACTGGCGTGGGGGAGACTCCACACCACAAAGTGTCCACGCAGAGCCGCACCTACATGTATGTCAGCGGTCACAACAGTCTGCGTGTCCCCGTCGGCTGTGAGGGCCGCGGCGGCCTAATTCTTCCTGGCGTGATCCATATGCTCGTATCTAATGGACAGAGTAACAACGCACACTCAGACACAAGCCTCTTATTTAATTAATAGAATTGAGCCGCGCGTGTCAAGCTGGTAATGTAATCACTCTGACACACAGGAGATGAATACGTGCTCCTCGTGCCCCCGAAGTAACACACACGCACACGCACACGCGCACACACGCACGCACGGAGCCCGTCGAATGTGGTGTGAGATTGAGCAGATAAACGAAGATGATTCATTTCCCGAAAGAACGTCTGCATCCGAGCGAACCCCCGCGGCCGGAGAGGAGTTAGTGAAACCAGAGGCAGAAGTCAGGGAGAAGAAGAGGAGAGCGAGCAGAGGATGATGGAGGACGGTGATGCTGATGGCGCTGAAGGCCCTTGGCTCTTCCACAGACTTCAAAAATCCTCATTAACCAGCAGTCGGCCTACACACTTAACACGCATGAGTTTGTGTGTGTGTGTGTGTGTTTGCACGTATACGCTTGTGTCCTTAAACCGCTGTGATTGTATGTGCGAGCGAGCTAGATAGATAGAAGAAGAGGAGGACCGAGAGAGAGAGAGAGAGAGAGGGAGAGAGCAGCGTGTCAGCCTACACACCAAACAAACCCATGAAAATTCATAAGGACCTGGCAACGCCTACTCACAAATACTAAAAATACTGGAGTGAGTTGAGCCTAGTCAGAGGAGAGGAAAGGGGAGGAAGAAGAGCGTGAGAGAGGGAGAGATGGACAGAGGAGATGAATAGAGAGGAATGAGAGCGCAGAGGAGGAGGAGGGAGAGGAAGACGAGGTTTAACGTGGACCAGGGGAGAGAAGAGCAGATAGAGAGGACAAATAACAGCTACAGCAACCGCATCCAACTCAGAACATCTATTCTCGGCCTCCAGTGGTCAGCTCTGGCTTTGTGTGAAAGAGTGCGTGTCTGTGTGTGTGCGCGTGTGTTTTCCCGCGTTATATCTCGAGCTTGAGGAACAAGAAAGTACGAACGGTTTCTATTTCTTTTAGCTTGTCGGCATTCGAGCCTCTCTGTGGTAAAGAAGTCCACCGTCACACTGATTTGATGGCGATTGACAGCATTTTACTGTCAAAGTCATCCATCCAGCGAGGGGAGGAGGGTGGATTTTTGATTTTTGCCTTCAGCCCATCTGTACACTGTGTAGTCACAGCGTACAGACGTTTGATTCTGGGCGTCTGTATCGGGAGGAAGCTCCTTTCACAGCTCTCATGAGGGCTTCTTGCAGGCTTTGGTACATGTTGACAGATGATGCTTGATTGACAGCACAGACTCATACCAAGTGTTTTTAGGTTTAGGATTTTGAAAGTTATCCACTCATCCGTCCATCCACGCATCCAACATGCGTGGATGGACGGATGGATGGATTCAGGTCTGTTTTGCCTGCGGCCTTGCCCCTTTGGAGCCACGCTGGTCTTTATTCAACTACTACCACTATTCAAATAATCCAAATATAACTGCATATTTTCTGTTTACTTCAAACTCAATCATCACACATCTGTACTGTGCTTTACTAAATGAGTTGTCGCCAACTGAAAATTGTTATTGTAAGATGTGTTGTTATTGCTGGGTAAAAAGTTTAACTGGATCTAAAAAGCAAAGTATGCTATGTGGGATCAGGATGAAAATGTATTCGTCAAAAGAATCCTTAAAATAATTGTGCTATAAGTCATAGCTTAAAGTAGACTCTCTGTGAAGTTCATGAAGTCTCCAACTCCTTTGGTTCATGAGTGAACGTGAACTCCGGCGTCAGAGAACTCAAACTGTGATTCATCCATCCTCCATCCAGATATTAATTAGCAAGTACTAATATCGTATGATTTTATTGAGGACTAATATATTGTGACGTAATTCTTAATTATCTGTGTTTACACCTGGTTTATTTATTCATTATTATCCTAAATAATTATAACTGTGTGTTTATAGCATGTTCATCGTGGGTGTTTGCATGATGTTCTATTTGTGCATGTGGATTGTGATGCTGGCAGGTACATCGTGTGACGCAGCGGCTCGGAGCTGATTTATATCCGTGAGGTAGAAAGCTGTAAATCCTAAAACAGTGGAGGGACGTCGTGCGTGAATAATGACACCTTGTCCCTGCCTCACTTTTCTCTCTTTCTTTCTCCCCCACACACACACACACACACAAACAGCGCTGCCAGGCTTTGCCTATGCTAATAGCGCTATGCTACCCAGGTGCATAAATAGACACAGTGCATTCAGAGTAAATTTAGCTTTAATGACCTGGCTAATCGCATCATCAATGTTACATCCAGATGCAGACATGCACGGTGGGCAGTGTTGTTGTTATTCTAATAGCGGGTTTCCACCTGACTGCTGCTCGCTGAGGGATGCTGGGAGGCAGGAACAAGGAGTTGGACAAACTCTGCTCCGTGCGCATCTCCGGCCTCCCCCCCCCTACCGCTCCACGTGTGAGAGCTTGTAAACGTGAGAGCCGCAGCTCTCAGACTTCGCGCCGTTTTGTTGTGTTTGTTTTATTTTGTCTCGTCTATAAATGATGAAGCTGCAGGCGGGAGAGAGGGAGAGGCACTCAGCCCTCTCCCGGGGGGGGGAGAGTGCTCGCCACCGGGCATCGTCCCCTCAGCGTCGCCCACCTCCCCACAACCTCGACGCGCGCTGA